ATGTATGTATGTATGTATGTATGTATGTATGCGTGGGGATGCTGGTGTGTGACTCGGGGTGCTAGTGGGCAGTTACACAATTGTTTTTGTATTTTTTAATGTTAAATAAAGTTTTTTTGTGTGTGTGTGTTGGTCTGTGTTTGTCACCTAGTTTGTTTGTATTCATATATGTGTATGTTTTGCTGGAGGTGTGTGGGGGGGGGGGCGAAGCAGGCGAGGCAGACGATGGTGTATGATAGATGAAGGAGGAGAGGAGACGCCCAAGTGTAGGAGTGAACAAGATGATTGATGTAAAAAGTAAATAAATCAAAGTTAGAGAGAGACAACAGGCGGTAGGAAGCTTGTAGTAGTGTTTTGTTGTGAGAGAACAAGGATGGAAGCTTGTCTCAGGTTGGGAAGCAGGTAGGGAGGTGGTGACAGCGGACAGGTGAGGTGAAAACTTGTCTCTGTGTTGTACAGGTAGGGAGGTGGTGACAGCGGACAGGTGAGGTGAAAGCTTGTCTCTGTGTTGTACAGGTAGGGAGGTGGTGACAGCGGACAGGTGAGGTGAAAACTTGTCTCTGTGTTGTACAGGTAGGAAGGTGGTGACAGAGGACAGGTGAGGTGGAAGCTTGTCTCTGTGTTGTACAGGTAGGAAGGTGGTGACAGCGGACAGGTGAGGTGAAAGCTTGTCTCTGTGTTGTACAGGTAGGGAGGTGGTGACAGCGGACAGGTGAGGTGAAAACTTGTCTCTGTGTTGTACAGGTAGGGAGGTGGGTGATAAAGTGACAGGTGAGAGAGGGCTCAAGAGGCCTGGTGGCCTGACTGTCATCACTAACACTACATAGTTTTATGTCGCAGCAGCCATGAGTGCATGTAAAATGAGCTTATAATCGTTTGCTGGTGTGTGTGTGTGTGTGTGCGTGGATGCAAATTTCAGTTTGTATATATGCATGTGAATGTACTCAAGTGTATGTGTCTACGGGTGTCTGTAAAGTGAACACAAGTGAACACAAGCGGTATAAGAGAGAGACCGACATGATAACAATCTAAGGAACATGTTCACGAGGAAGGGCGTAACATGTGACACACTCTGAACATGAACCAACGGAAGACAAATATAATTATTTTTAAACACGTAAAATTTCTGGATTTTTTATGCCATCAGCGCCAAGTGGGGAATAAATGACAGGAATATGAAGAACTGTTTAAAGAGTTACAGAGTGTTTTGTGGCCACCTGGGCTTATGTACAGTGTGGTGTAGTAAAGTCAGCTGGTGATTCTAGAGGAACAGTCGCGGTTCATTTGACATACATTACATTGGACATGTTCTGTGTATCTGCTATACCATACACTTGCACACAGGTACTGAGCATATGTGGTACAGGTATATAGTACACTGAGCACACGGTACACAGAGCTCACACGGTACACAGACACACAGGTACACAGCACACACGTTACATAGCACATACACGGTGCCAAAAGCACACACGGTACACTTACCACACCTGGTACCTGAGCACACATTGCACACACATACCCAGTACACTGACCACACCTGGTACAGAGCACACCGTACACAGCACACACCAGTACACTGACCACACCCGGTACAGAACACACACTGTACACAGCACACACGCAGTACACTGACCACACCCAGTATACAGAGCACACACGGTACACAGCACACACCAGTACACTGACCACACCGGTACATGAACACACACGGTACAGCACACACCAGTACACTGACCACACCTGTATCGAGCACACACAGGGCAGCACACACCAGTACACTGACCACACCGGTACACAGAGCACACCCTGCACACAGCACACACGGTACACAGAGGTTGCATGTCGTATTATTTTCTGTTAGCAATTCCAATGGCGGTGAGTAAGAAACGATATGTGGGTCATAATATCGCCGGCATTAAGCGAGTCCTCGTGGCTGGAACTCTCGAGGCAAAATTGTCATTATTTCCGCCTCTGTCTCAAAGTCTTTTTTCGCTTGATAAACTTACTTTTTTATCTTGAGTCACCGCCGCCTTCTCTGTGTGTGTGTGTGTGTGTGTGTGTGTGTGTGTGTGTGTGTGTGTGTGTGTGTTTTTGACGGTTCATGGTACAGTAATGAGAGTGTGTTTTTGTGTGTGTATGTATGTGTGTGTGTTGCTTTTTGGTGGGTGGTGGTGATAGTTTGGTGGTACTGGTGCTGGACCTCTTCATGATAATTATTCTTTTGTTATTGAAAGTAAAGTCTGTTTTAGTTGTCCTTCTTGTAAATAATTTCACACCTTGGTCAATTTACTTCCTGTTATCAGTACCGGGATGGTAATAAATTAATCTTTTATTTATTTATTCTTATTCATTCATACAGTTTCTAGTTTTTTTATTTAACATTAATAATATATACAGTAAGTTCTTGATGTTGTGACTTCCCAGGAAATGTTGACTTTATTTACTTTTGTTTTTTTTCACTTTTATCTGAATGCTTCAAGAAACTTATGATTTTTTTTCTCTTTTTTCTGTCGTTTGTCGATCAGATTTTGTTTCATTATATGGAATTAACTGTTTGTAATTTTCAGTTAACAAGATATTAACTTATAAAGACAAACAATTTAACAACAGTTGATAAATTCCATAGAATCTTTAATAAATCAAATAGTAAAATTTTTAATATGTGTAACAATATCAATTTCAACGTAATATAGGAAGTATGGAACTGATACGCTATATATACATAAATACTTACAAGATCTTTATCAGTATCCTTAACGTGAGATACCATACAGCCAGCCTCATACCTACTCAGAATACTCTTAGCCACATATCTTGAGGCAACATCAGTTTCAAGTCTTAAGGTAAACATAGATACACGACATTGAGTACGAGTCTTAGTTTATGATTATTGTTTTTAGAACTTGATACAGCAAACCTGAGGCCGAGTTGTTGGTTGTTTGGTGTGTGTGTGTGTGTGTGTGTGTGGTGTGTGTGTGTGTGTACTGGCTGGTGCTTTACTTCCAAACATAAAACATTTGCAGTCATTGGGTTCATGACAATATCGAAATTCTTTGCGCATGTATTTCTACTAATAAAACTCATTTTGTCTTGTGTGGTTTCAGTGTTGAATGTGGCGATGACTGGAGCGTGACGGCAGCAATGGCACGCTATTTCGTGTCGTCAACAGCTGCCGTATTAATCTACGTCACCAATTGGCACTCAATTTATGTCGCAACACTGCCACGTCTTCGTCAACACTGGAAATTTTCTGCGTGCTCAAACAGTTGATCCTATGTCACCAATACTGGCACTGAATCTACGTCATCAACACTGCCTACGTCACCAACACTGCACTTTCTTGTCACCAACACTTTCTCTACGTTAGATCTATTTGTGGGTGTTGACAGCCAGGTGTCTAGTCAATGGATTATGAACATTAATCAAGTTCTTAGCTCTGTATCGTTGTTAACCACCTGAGAGCAATGACTCTTAAGGAGGTAAATGGTCTAATGATGATGGTGTGTGTGTGTGTGTGTGTGTGTGTGTGTGTGTGTGTGTGTGTGTGTGTGTGTGTGTGTGTGTGTGTGTGTGTTAGAGCAGAGCAATCTTTCGTCACAGTCAAATCTCATTGAGTCTTCTAATCACAGAACAATCCTCTCAGATCGTCACTATTTACCACTTTTCTTTCTAAATTTGTTGTCCTGTAAAAGATCCACTCCAATTATTCGCCTTCTTGTCAATTTCAATTACAATGCTCATTCTTCCTCATACCAATCGTACTCTGAGAAGTTCCATTTAATTGAACTTTATCATCATTCACCTATACATACCATTCTAGATAATTATCTTCTTCTATGATACTTCCTTCCTTATCACGTCCTTCCATCCACAAACGTCTTAGAATTATTTGAATGAAAAGTAAACCATCTCCCTGGTCGCTCAGGAACTTGCATGATCTTTGTTCGTTTTATTTTTCCATTGCAGGGTATGTCAACCCTCAAAGGACGTATATTTTCGTAGATGATCACACTTGAACCAGACATACTATTGCTACATACATACATTACGCACTGCAAGTAATATCACACATACTTCGCGCTCTCACACACTTTAACTGGAGAAGACATTACTTTCTTGGTATAATTTTTCACGATGGCATAACGTATGTCATTGTTTGTTGGGAAGAAAGTCTTCGACCCACGCTATGCTGACCTCTAGTGATGCTGTATTACTACTAACGTGACCAACAACAGTAACACCAGGACGCCTGGGGTTTGGGACAATAGTAGCAACAGGACGCCCACAACAGTGACAGGACGCCTATACAGTAACAACAATGCCTATACGTAACAGGACGTTCCACAGTAGCAACAAAGGCGCCAGGTAACAACAGTACGCCCACAAATAGTAAACAACGCCTATAACAGTGACAACAGGACGCCTACATCAATAACACCAAACCGCTCACAACAGTAACAACAGGACGCCTATAACAGTAACAGGTGACTACACTTGGGTACAAAAGCACCCCTTATAGTGCTGGTAACATAACAAAGGCTCCCCACTTTTTAGTTCTGCTTGGCACATTTTCTATAAACCTCTCCTGGAAACTAAAATTCCACTTTTTGGTCACAATACAAATGGAGCTTAGTTAAACACGCTAGGTCATGCATACTGGCCGTTATTTGCAGGTTAGGTTGCTTCCCCCGTCCCTATACAATGGGCCGTGGTGCTGGGAACGGGGTGAGGGGGGAGGGGCCCCAGGTACTGGACCTGGGGGAAGATGCAGACGGGGAGGGATTCGTACTGGGCCTGGGGAGAGGTTAGCGGGAGGAAAGTATAAGTTACTGGGCCTGGGGAATGGAATGGGGGAGCATGGGGAGGGTCCATCTAGGTGCTTAGCTGGTGGAAGGAATGTGAGGAGGGGGGTGGGGAGAGGAAGAAGAGCCCTTGGAGCTGCTACCTGGGGAGGAACTATGTTGGTACTATTGTCAGTCGAATGGGCTGGAACCGACATGATAGGGTTTGACGGTCTGGGGCTGGAGGACACAGAGAGGTGGCCTGAGACGTGTTGACAGGGAAGCGGGGCGGTCTGGAGACAAGAAGATGAAGTGAGACAGGCAGCAGACAGGTGAGGGCGGGGTGGGGCCAAGGAGAGGGAGGCTACACGAGACAGGTGAAGGAGGGGGAGGGCAGGGGCTGCAGCAAGGGTAAGCAGGGCTGCAGTGAGGTGAGGTCAGAAAGACAGGTGGAAAAGCCAGTTGGTGCGAGGTGAAGCCAAGAAGTATACGAGGTAGGGGTGAGAAGAATTAAGGCTAGGCGTTATAAGATGGGGTGGAGTTATGGGACGGGTGTGAGGCGAGAGGTGTAGCGTGGTAGAATGAGAGAGAATGAGGAAAGTCGGGGCTTGACGGTGTGAAGAAGTTGAGGTTGGGCTGAACGGCGGGTGTGGCGTGGTGGGTGGTGGGGTAGGGGGTGGGGAAACAGAGTACAATCACCAGACACTTTCAGGTAGGAGAGTTCTCAGCATTTTATTATATGTTTTGTTATGTAAAGTTAACAGGTGCGTGAAGGACCAGGAGGAGTGAGGAGGTTGTCTATCTTCGCGTAATGATGTAATATTATCACTTTTGTGGATGGACTCGACTCACCCACCTGTATGCCTACCTGTCACAGTTAGATGACCACTTGAGCTTAGATAGTCCTTCCATATATGACAATGGGAGGAGAGCAAAGTTGTGTCACCTTCACCAGTTGATGCATTCCCAACACATCTGTCAAAGTATGTTGAGAGTATAAATTACTGGAGAGTTAGAGATTTAGAGAGTTATCAATATTGAGAGGTCTTCAATAATATTGAGGATATTTAATGAGAATATTGAGAGAACAAGAACACGGATATAATAGAGTGAGAATGAGAAAGATACAAGGAGAATAAGGATTTAGAGAGACTTAAAGAATATTCTAGCATGGTGAAGATGTTCCCAGTTTATTTAGGGTCTGTTATGAAATTGGTTGCTTTTTTTTGCCAGGTCTGTGTGTGGTGCCTCCTCTAGTGTTGTTGTTGTGGCTCCTCTAGTGTGTGGTTCTCCAGGTTGTGGTTATTGTATTGCTCCAGTGTTTGGTGTGGCTCCTCCAGTGTTATCAGGGCTCTCCAGTGGTTTTGTGTGGCTCCTCAGTGTGTGTTTGTAGCACAGGTTCTCCAGTGTTGTGTGGCTCCTCCATATCATTGTGCTCCAGTGTTATTTGTGGCTCCTCCAGTGTTATCATTGTGGCCAAGTGTTATCATTGTGGCTCCTCAGTATTTACATGGCTCCTACATTAGGTGTGGCTCTAGCAGTGTTACAGTTGTGGCTCTTGAGTGTTTTGTATTCCAGTGTTATCAGCCAGGTTGTTGTTATTGTGGCCTCCAGTATTATGGCTCCTATAGTGGTTCTCCTGCAGTATTACTTTGGCTCTTCCAGTGTTTGCTTCATTGTGGCCTCCAGTATATTGTGGCCTCCAGTGCTTATTGTGGCTCTCATGTTAGTGTGGCTCTTACAGTGTTATTGTGGCTCCAGTGTTAGGTCTTCGAGTGTTTTCATTGTGGCTCCTCCAGTGTTATCTTGTGGCCCTCCTAGTGTTTTGTGCTCCAAGGTTAGTGTGGTCTTGCAGGTTGGTGGCTCTTTGTGTTATTGTATTCCAGTGTTATTGTGGCTCCTCCAGTGTTATCATTGTGGCTCCTCAGTAGTTATTGTGGCTCCTGTTAGTGTGGCTCTTACAGTGTTATTGTGGCTCTTAAGAGTGTTATTGTGTCTCAAGTGTTGTCAGGCCTCAGTGTTATTGTGCTCCTCCGTGTTACTGTGGCTCCTCCAGGTTATTATTGTGGGCTCCCAAGTGTATGTGCCTCCAGTGTTATCATTGTGCCCTCAGTGTTATTATTGTGGCTCCTCCATTATTGTGGCTCCTCCAGTGTTATCATTGTGGCTCCTCCATGTTTTGGCCTCCAGTCATGGGTTCTCCATGTGTGTCTCCAGTTATTTATTGTGGCCCTACAGTGAGGTGTGGCTTTTACAGTGTTATTGGTGGTCTCCAGGCATGTATCTAGTGTTATCATTGTGGCTCTCCAGTGTTGGTAGGCTCCTCCAGTGTTTATATTGTGGCTCCTCCAGTGTTATCATTAGCCCTCAGTGTTATTATTTTGGCTCACAGTGTTAGTGTGGCTCTTGTGTTGGTTGTGGCTGTTCCAGTGTTCGTTGTGGGTTCTCAATGCTGTGGCCCTCAGTTTGTGTGGCTCCTCCAGTGTTATTGTGGCTCCTCCAGTGGTGTGCTCCTCCAAGTGTTGTTGGGTCAGGTTCTCCAGTGTTGTTGTGGTTCTCCAGTGTTGTTCCTCCAGTTGTGTCTCCAGTGTTGTTATTGTGGCTCCTCCAGTGTTGTTGTTTTGTGCTCCTCAGTGTTTTGTGGTCTAGTGTTGTTATTAGGTCTTTGGTCTCAGTGTTATTTGTATTTGCTGTCAGGTTGTTGTGGCTCCTCAAGTTATTGTATTCTGCTGAGTTATTGTGGGTCCTCCAGTGTTATTGGCTCTAGTGTTATTGTGGCTCTTAAGTATGGCTGTGTCTCCAGTGTTGTTGTCTTTTTCAGTGTTATTGTGGTTCAGTGTTATTGTGGCTCCTTCAGTGTGTGTGGCTCCTCCAGTGTTAGCCTTAGGTTTGGTGTGCTCAGGCCTAGTTATTGTGCCTCCAGTGTTTTGTGGTTCCTTCAGTGTATTGTGGCTCCTCCAGTTGTGGCTCCTGCAGTGGTGTTATTGTGGCTCTTACAGTGTTATTGTAAGGCTCTTTCAGTGTTATTGTGGCTCTTACAGTGTTGTTGTTTGTGTTATTGTGGCTCTTCAGTGTTATGGGTAGGCTCCTCAAGTGTAGGCTCTTGCAAGTGTGGCTCCTCAGTGTTGTGGCTCTTGCAGTGTTATTGTGGTTCTTCAGTGGGATTATGGTTCTCTCCAGTGTTATTATTCCTTCAGTGTTGGCTCCTCAGTATGTGTGGCCTTGCTGTGCCCTTGGAGTAGCCTCCAAGTGTTATTGTGCTCCTCCAGTTATTGTGGCTCTTACAGTATTATTATATTCTTCAGTGTTATTGTGGCTCCTCCAGTGTTATTGTTGCATGTTGTTGGCTCCTCCAGTGAGGCTTGTGCCTCCAGTGAGGCTGTGTTATTGTGCTGTGGCTCCAGTGTTATTGTGGCTCCTACAGTGTTATTGTGGCCCTCCAGTGTTGTGTTCTTCCAGTGTTATTGTGGGTCTCTCCAGTGTTATTGTGGCTCTTTACAGTGTTATTGTGGCCCTTCCAGTTATTGTGGCTCCTCCAGTGTTATGGCCTCCAGTGTTATTGTGGCCTCCAGTTAGCTAGGCCTTCAGTGTTATTATGTCTCCAGCAAGCATTGGGCTCTGCTATTGGGCCCTCCAGTGTTATTGTGGCTCCTTCAGTTGTATGTAGCCCTCCATGTTGGCCTTACAGTGTTATTTTAACCCTTCATTATTATGGCTCTTTTCAGTACATTGTGGTTCCTGAACTTGCATTCTTGTAGTCTTAATTGCCAGGCTTCCAAATTTACAAAATAATTTCTATTAATCTTTTCACTATTATCATTGTGTCTCTTCACCAATTATGATGAGTCTCCCTTCACCATTACTTGTTGAGGTCCTCTTCACTATTTGCTGTGGGCTCCCTTCACTATTATCTGTTAGGTCCCTTCACCATTTCTGTTGTGGCCCTCACTTTCTGATTGCTTGGCCCCTTCACCGACATTGCTGTGGCCTTCACCATTACTGTTGTGGCCTCTTCACCATTACTGTTGTGGCCACGTTCGTGAATCAGGCCCCTTCACCATATTGCCGGGCCCATTCACGCTTAATGTGGCCATTAATACTTGTACCTTCGTACATTATTTGTCGTGGCCCCTTCACCATTGCTGTCGTGGCCCCTTCAACCATTACTGTCGTGGCCTCTTCTAATGATTGCTGTGGCCCCTTCACTTCATTATTGTCGTGGCCCCCTTCAATATTACTGTTGTGGCCCTTCACTACTGACGTGGTCCTTCATTATTGTTGTGGCCCTTCACATTACTAGGCCTTCACCATTGTCGGCCCTTCACCATTATTTTCGTCGGGCCCCTTCACTATTGCGTGGCCTTCACCATTATCGGCCCTTCATTACTGTTGTGGCCCCTTCACCATTGCATGTCAGCCCTTCACCATTATTGTCGTGGCCCTTCACCATATTGTCGTGGCCTTCAATTATTACTGTCGTGGCCCTTCACCATTATTATGTTGTGGCCCCTTCAACATTATTGTTGTGGCCCTTCACCATTACTGTTGTGGCCCCTCCACCATTACTGTTGGTGGTCCTACAGTAGTGTTTAAAGTTCCAACATTTTTTCCTGTGTCGTGAGCTTAAAAGTAATATTGTCATGGTTGGTGAGTTGACTGTGTGTCTTTATAGTCATTCCTCCATTTATGTTGTTGTCTTGTGTTTGAACCTCATGGTGTTTTTATGGAGGACTATTTTTTGTTAATTTGACTATAATGTTTTTGTTGAGGGGCTATACTGTTTTTGTTGAGGGACTATACTGTTTTTGTTGAGGGACTATAATGTTTTGTTGAGGGGCTATACTGTTTTTGTTGAGGGATATACTTTTTTGTTGAGGGACTATACTGTTTTTTTAATTTGACTATAATGTTTTGTTAAGGGACTATACTGTTTTTGTTAATTCGACTATACTGTTTTTGTTGAGGGACTATACTGTTTTGTTGAGTTAATTCTCTATCTGTTTTTGTTGAGGGACTATACTGTTTTTGTTGAGAGTGAACCATGCTGTTTTGTTGAGGGACTATGCTGTTTTTGTTGAGAGACTATAATGTTTTTTGTTAAGGGACTATACTGTTTTGTTAATTTGACTATAATGTTTTTTGTTAGGGGACTATACTGTTTTTTTTAATTCGACTATAATGTTTTTGTTAAGGGACTATACTGTTTTTGTTGAGGGCTACTCTGTTTTGTTGAGGACTATACTGTTTTATTGAATTGGACTATAATGTTTTTGTTAAGGGGACTATACTGTTTTTGTTGAGGGACTATACTGTTTTTGTTGAGGGACTATACTATTTTTGTTAATTTGACTATAATGTTTTTGTTAAGGGACTATACTGTTTTTGTTAATTCGACTATCTGTTTTGTTAAGGGGACTATACTGTTTTGGGGGACTATACTGTTTTTGTTGAGGGACTATACTATTTTTGTTAATTTGACTATAATGTTTTTGTTAAGGGACTATACTGTTTTGTTAATTCGACTATAATGTTTTTGTTAAGGGACTATACTGTTTTTGTTAATTCGACTATAATGTTTTTTGTTAAGGGACTATACTGTTTTTTGTTGAGGGCTATACTCTTTTTGTTGAGGACTATACTGTTTTTGTTAATTGGACTATAATGTTTTTTTTTAAGGGACTATACTGTTTTTGTTGAGGGGACTATACTGTTTTTGTTAATTCGACTATACTGTTTTTGTTGAGGGGACTTTACTGTTTTTGTTGAGGTGAACTATACTGTTTTTGTTAATTCGACTATAATGTTTTTGTTAAGGGGACTATACTGTTTTTGCTGAGGGAACTATACTGTTTTTGTTAAGGGAACTATACTGTTTTTGTTAAGGGGGCTATACTGTTTTTGCTGAGGGAACTATACTGTTTTTGTTAATTCGACTATACTGTTTTTGTTGAGGGGACTATACTGTTTTTGCTGCGGGGACTATACTGTTTTTGTTAATTCGACTATAATGTTTTTGCTGCGGGGACTATACTGTTTTTGTTAATTCGACTATACTGTTTTTGTTGAGGGGCTATACTGTTTTTGTTGAGGGAACTATACTGTTTTTGTTAAGGGGACTATACTGTTTTTGTTAATTCGACTATACTGTTTTTGTTATAGTGCTCCAGTTTTCTTGCTCTTGTTGTCTCGATGTTAGGTTTTTAATAAGGTAAATATGGTAAACTTCAGGCTGCTGTAATACTGCTGTTTATCTAATGCGTCTGCCTTATAGCGCCTTCTCTTGACTTTCATTTTGTACAGTGCCTAAACTCTGTTAGCATGGTCGCTCCTAGACTGTTAGTGTGGCCATTGTTACACTGTTATTGTGGCCACCCTTACACTGTTATTGTGGCCATTGTTACACTGTTATTGTGGCCATTGTTACACTGTTAGAGTGGCCACCCTTACACTGTTATTATGGTCAGTCTTACACTGTTAAAGTGGCCACCCTCACACTGTTATTGTGGCCATTGTTACACTGTTATTGTGCCCACCCTTACACTGTTATTGTGGCCATTGTTACACTGTTATTGTGGCCACCCTTACATTGTTATTGTAGCCATTGTTACACTGTTATTATAGCCACCCTCACACTGTTATTGTGGCCATTGTTACGCTGTTATTGTGGCCACCCTCACACTGTTATTGTGGCCATTGTTACACTGTTATTATAGCCACCCTCACACTGTTATTGTGGCCATTGTTACACTGTTATTGTGGCCACCCTTACATTGTTATTGTAGCCATTGTTACACTGTTATTATAGCCACCCTCACACTGTTATTGTGGCCATTGTTACACTGTTATTGTGGCCACCCTCACACTGTTATTGTGGCCATTGTTACACTGTTATTATAGCCACCCTCACACTGTTATTGTGGCCATTGTTACGCTGTTATTGTGGCCACCCTCACACTGTTATTCTGGTCAGTTTTACACTGTTAGTGTGGCCACCCTCACACTGTTATTCTGGTCAGTTTTACACTGTTAGTGTGGCCACCCTTACACTATTATTGT